CAAATGCATGGCAGGCTGCTAAGTGCTGTCAATCAACGCTGACACTCGACTCCCCTAGAAACACAACCTGTCTCCTGGCACAGCTGGGGAAGGCAACCTCGAGGGGATTATCTTTGTTCTTGGCAGTGTGGCACAGGACTGGGGTCACCTGCCTGGAAGGCCTACCAAAAAAAACCCCAAAAAAACAGAAAGAAGAGGGGACTCCTGCTAAGGAAGCAACTGAGAAAAGAACCGTATCACGGCTGTGCGGTTCAGAACATGGAGTGGGGTGGTCTTGGGTCCGGGCTTCGAGTACTGAGCACCCTAGAGCCCTACTGACATGAAGAGAACCCAAGGGTGCACAGCCCCGCTGAATGGGGCCCCGGGTCCAGCCCAGCCCAGATCCGCTCTCGGGAGCTGCACCCCGCACGTCTCCGAGAGCATCGGGGGCACGTCTGCCATTCCAGCCAGCAAAACGATGCCACCCCTCCCGCCCGAAATGGTGACAGATTTCACAAGGTTATCGAATGGCAGCAGTGAAATTAGTTCACAGTTGTCTCCTGACACACCAGCAGTAAAAGCGAACCCAAATTACGACAGGGTGATAGCTCCTTTTCTGTGTCACCAGGCCTATTAAAAGCTCTCTCTCTAAAAGCACGAGGGAGCGCTACAGCGAAATCAAGCTGTTCCTATAGCTATTAGGAGTGAAGGGAGTAAACTGCATTTCACACACATTTGGGGGCTGCTCCCTGCAATAATTTACCCCGCTCAGCTGGTGGGGAGAAGAGCAGTGGGGCAGGTTTCTTCCAACCAAGCTGCCATGATATTGCAATGAATCCGTGAGAAAGGCAAATGTTCTGGGACCAGGCGACACTGGGACCAGGGCCCACGTGCATTGGTAGCAAAAGAAAGAGCTCAGCGCTGCGTCCAGCGAACCGAGTCCCATCCAAGTCCTGCGAAATGTGAAACAGCAAATCCAACTGGGTAAGGACCGCGGCCCAGTCTCTTGGATACCTCTTCCCCAACGCAAGCAGCCGTGCTTCCAGGACTGCTGGGGAAAGGGCACTGTTGCATAAAGAGCATGAATCAGGCCTTTGTTACAAGATATTGCACAACGAAAGAAGAAAACGAAGCAGCAATGATCAAGTAAAGGAGCTGAAAAATATTACAAAATCTTAATCCTCCCCATGAGACCCTCTGGGGTGCTTTCAAATACGGAGAGAAATTGCCTAATTAGCTTTTTTTTTTAAATGGATAATTGCCTTCATGAGCTTTCACAGGCAGCTTAGCAACCTTTTAACATACATACACACTGTATGTAATAGCAGAACATTTCTGAAAGGGGTTTTATACCTTCCCAAAGAGCCGCTGACAGTAAACCTCAAGCAATACAGGCAGGGGCCGTAATGGGCACTTGGGTGTCGTTAGTAAAAACACTATTCAGAGTTCGCTGGTCAATACGTGTTCACATAAAAGGGCAATGTTCTAATATTCATAATCTCAGGGCCCACAGGGCAGGGTTTTAATGAAAGTCTGTACAGTTCTGGTCTCCGCAACATCAAAGAGACCAATAAAACTCCTCTCACATGCTGACAGGCAAAAGTCAGACGGTGAACACAGAATGGTAAAAGGCACAGCCCAGCTCCGAGGTCTGCCTCAACGAGGCAACCCATCAATTAAGGGGGGGGCATGAGGGGC